GAATAATTATTTTCCTGTGTATTTTATTGTTTGGGGGAGGAGAGTTAATTTTGGAGATTTTTTTTGTTTTCCTAATTTTTAAAAATTATTATTACTCAGGTGTTTTGATTAGTTTTATTTGGCTGCAAATGAAAGAACTAAAACATGCCAGATTTCTATTCCATCAAGAATATAAAACCATATAGATATCAGTTTAGCTTTTCACTACCACCTCCTCCCTCTTCCCCATTCAGAAGGCTTCTTATTTTAAAAGTGTCAAATATTAGAAGATAATGATGATAAATTCTGAACTGACAAAACAAACGGAAGAAATACTTTAATTCCATATATAGATTCTAATGTTCTTTTGGTCAGATTTTTCATAGTTTATCCATAACCCCAGTTTAGCCTTGACCATTAATTCTGATATTGCACCACAGGATGATGTCAGCATCAATGAAACATGATAGTAGTGGTCAGTGAAATTGATCTTTTGAATCTGGACAGAGCAAAGGAACAATGTGGGATGTGCTATAGTTATTGAGGTGGTCAGAGAAAAAGAAGTTGAGTAAGAGGTATTAGAGTGTGCTTCAGTAACTGAGCCAAAAAGAAAAGAAAAAAAGAAAAAAGAGAAAAAGAGGAAAGTAATAGTTTCCAGATGTCAGAACTGCAGGAAAAGGGAAGCCAAAATAAAGCAGCTCTGCATGTTTGGGGAATGGAGGTAAACAGGGATTTTTCAGTATCAATTTTGGTGTATAAGAAGTTACCAGCTATGAGGCTGATGCAAGCAGGCGATATTAAAGACTGAATGGGACAGGTGCAATGTAGAAAAGTGTATTATTAACTTAAAACAGTCACTGCACATTAAACCAATTACTGGTGACTGCTGGGCAAATTTCCTCTGTTCTGTGCTGTCTGTCTAAAGCTGATCCAGATTGTTGTTAAAGTGCACTTGCCTCCTTTGACTTATCATCATATTGGCTTAATAAGTGTTGTAAAGTGACATAAGTGACAGCACTACCAAATTAGGGAGTTTTCTGTTTTAAAATACACACCTGATATACAAAGAAAGTATGACAAATGCTAGACCCCCTTCTGATTGGGATTTTTGGGACAAAACATGCTTTTTGTGTCATACACCAATTGAACTAAGTAAAACAAATTTTTTAAAAGTGTATGAGAGGTATTGAAATTCTGTCTCAATGCTGATTGCTTTCTGTCAGAAATCTGCATGGTTTTCTCAAGGCTTTATGTAGGGCCAAAAATGGGAATGTTCTTTGTCAATGGGATGGAAACCATTAACGGGACAAAAAAGAAAAATTCAAGTAACTCTAGTGTTTATGAAATGAGAAGAATTACAGTTTCTGAAAAAATAATTTCATATTCAACTAGCATACAATCAAATTCCAAGAGTTGAATAATACTGTGGTTCAGAAAACAGTAGGTCATGTTTTTGATCTTTTGTTTACTTATAGGCAGAAAAGATGCCCTCTGACTTCAAAACTCCTTATTGCTTTCCTAACATTGTTTCATGTGACATTTGAGCTGCTTACCTTTTCTTTGCTGACCTAGTTAAAATGATGAGTTAAATTTGGTATATTGTGGGTTTTATTTCTAATTAGCTATGATGTAATCACTCCTTGAACAAATCTCATCAATTGACTTGGGACTGAATTGCATTTAGCTTGAACAAACAGAGAATAAATCTATCTCTGATTTCATTCATTCATTTTGATCATTCCACATACCTGAACTCAGTGCCAGTTTCTCCTATTGAAGTATTCTTTAATTTCTGAGTGAGAGGCTGCTCAGCTCAAGTGTGATGGAAAATAAGGCAATGAAGTCTGGAATAGACACGGGTGGGAATTCTAAACTTGTTCACCACTGGAGTTTCTGGGTTAGAAAAACACTTGAGCTTAGTTGAGCCATTTCTGTCCCCCAGCCCCATGTGTGGAGATCCCAGACTGTCACTTCAGTGTCTCCTCAAGGTACCGCTGGGAACAAAGCCTCTGGCACTTTGCATGAGTGTCAGCCTGATGTGTCAGAGTGCAGTGGGAGATTTCTTCAGCCCTTTAAGGAAAAGTCTTTCATTTCCAGTGTCCCTTACCTAGCCAATGAGTATCCTTGCTGGGCAGTCAGATCCAGGCAGTTTGTAAGCACAGCAGGGCTTCTAACTGAGCACCAAACCCAAAGGAAGAACATCAGGACCTTGGCTCAGCCAGGGCTGCTCAGCAGCGACCAAGGCACAGCCCTGTTAATGTTTGAGTTGTGTTGTTGGCTCTGCTCAGCACTGTGGAAGTACTGTCCCACTGTCCCACTGCATGTATTTGTCTTAAGAGCACTTAGAAATTCTAACTGTACAATGATGTGTATCTGTTCTAGGGATTTAGTGTGTGAGACTGCTTTGTCCTCACCAAATGAATGAACAATTATGGTCTCCAGGTCTCCAAAGATGATTTAGAGAGAGATACAATATTAGATGAGATTGAAAATAATATACTGGTAGTGAAGAATATTGAATTACTCAGGTTGAATCCTGGAGTGTATTCCTGCATTTCTGCATAATGATTTTGGCCATTATAATGAAATAGTATATTAAGGGAATAAAAGATTGTCAATAAGGTATTTAAGCTTCCAGTAGTAAATGAAAAATACTTACATTTTACCATTTAATACCAACTAGGATGCTTCACCTTATCAAACTGCAATAGATTAGGAGAAAAACTGTTCCTTTAGTGTTGTATATCAGCCCTAGGGTGAAGGTAGGGTTAAATTTCACTGTCTAATGCACATTTGTTCTCATCATAAAGCTAATCTTGTAATTTCTCACAAGACTGGCAATCTTGGGAGAAATGAGCTAGTACTGAGGTTAAATTACCTCTTACCCTAAAGGAGGCAAAGGATATTCTTGGATGAATGGCTCAGCATGATACACATTATAGATAACTAAGGTGTTGCATAATGCAAGTCTTGGCTTTTGGCTGTGGAAAGAGCTTTAGGCCTGTTTCTAGTAGCATATCTGTCTGGAAAATAATTCAAGGCTTTTTGGAATAATTCAGTTTTACTGAAAGTCTTTAAAATTGTACTATCTCATTTTATATTGTCTGTTGACTACTGATCTCAGAGTTTTCAGTATTGGCTGGAGCTATTAATGTAGTCACTTGCTAGCAAAAAAAAAGTATAGTGCTGACTTTTTTGATGAAGTGTGCAGGATACTGGAATTTAAGTAGTGTGGGTTTTTTAAAGTGGTAAAACACCTTTTTCTCAGCATAGCTATGGAGCTAAAATTTTTTAAGACTTTATTTCAATGCTTACAGATTTAAAGACAAGAAAATGTCATGCTTTCAGCACTTTAATATTAATTATTGAAATGAATGAATCTAAGAAGAGGTAGATAGAACTCACACATTTGCTCAAAACAGATTTTGCAATCTGTTTTTGATTGTTTCCTGACAGCACTGATTCTTCTTTTCTGAAACAGACTAAATTATAATAAAACATACAGCCATAGAAGGAGTTGAAAAATAATTCTGGAATGACTTATTTAATGGTGGTTACACAATTAGTTTTATCTAATAATAAATTATTTTTCATAGTTTTCACTCATTCCTCATGAGAGTAACAAGAAATGGCAAGCTCAGCAGAAAGTAGGGACATTATAATTTATGAGTGGTTATTAAAAGCATCAAGAAAGGGGTGTATTTAGAGGAAAAGTCTGGATTGAAAGAAATTAAAGTGGCTCTAAAGATTATTAATATAACATAACTGTGCCTCATAGTTCAAATAGTTGAGTGTTTCTTGAGTGTGCAATATCCCTTCATTTGCCAGTAGTGCAGCGTTAAGGGGACAGATTCACTTTACTCTTTGATATATCTGTGTACTAATTCAACAGAATTTTTTAGAACATTTTTTGGCACTCAAAATGGCAGAGAATTTAATAGAGAGGCAAGACGAATGCAATATGTAACCAGTGAAATTATAACTTTATAAAATGTGCTGTAACTGATAACAAGATCTTATGTTGTTGGCAATCACAGATATGAACAACTTCTGTAGGAATGTATAGAAGATTTCAAGAAAAATAATGGTTTGTGGGATCAGGTAAATAAAAGAGCTGGGATATAGTCATAAAATACCATTAACTGGAAGGAACGCACAAGGATCATCAAAACTTTGAATCACTTGAGTTTGATTTTAATCTCTTGTTTAATTCTGAATCCCTTTTTGCCCATTCCTATCTACAGATCTATATTAACATTGACACTGACCTATGGCTTTATGTTGATATGAGACTTGGATGCTTCTTGAGAATTCATAGAAAAAAACAAATCCATTTCAGCATGTAGTATTGAGACAAATTTTGTGACTAGTAACAGACCATATAAAATTTAGAACTGTTTTTTTTTAATTAAGAAAAAAATAATGACAATGTTACTGAAATGGCAGCAAATTCAGTGAAGAAGCTAAATAGATATTTGTGTGTGTATAGTTACCCAGAAAAGAAGACAGAATAACTTATTTTACACAAGAGAAAAGCTGTGAATATGCATCTTTGGCAGTAGGAAAAAATGCCTTTAAGAGAAGAATAGCCATTCAGCATATGAGGAAGGTGGTAAAATCCAAAGAGAGAGGAAGGGGAAGAATGCAGGTTTCTGCCCTAAATCCCTCAGTGACCCCCATTCCCACTGAAGGAGGGAGAAAGGAGGGGGTGAAAGGAAGGTGAGGGTCACCCCCAAGTGCATGATTTCCTTGTTTGTACCTCCTGAATGAAAGTGACAGCCTTTCCTCTGTGATTTATTTTGTAATCATCTGCTTCTTAAGAGTAACTGCTAACAATAGTCAATATTAGCACGAATTCCATTGCAAGTAACAAAATATCATTTACATTCTGAGATAGAATCATTAGAACCTGATTTTCCAATAGTATTCTGAGACTGAAATAGACTAAGATTTGTACTTGCAGTCCTTTTTGATTGTATTTTTTAATATTTTATTTTAATCTGTGCTCTTTCTTCCTGTAGAGGGAGAGGTTGGCTTGTGTCATCTGTTACATGAGTAAAACTATGAATTTCAAACATCACTTCCAGCATCTGGGCTTTGTGCAGATGTGTGACATCTGAGCCAGGTAAAGAATACATTTAAATTACTTTCTTAATTGCTTTATTTAAGTGCCAAAAGTTATTAATAGAAGTGGCTTAAGAATGAATTTTTGATAATATTTGGACAAAGAAAAATAGATATGGTTGGATGGTGTTAAAAAGGTAGTAATAAAAATGATCATAAATCTGGAAAGTTCAAGAAATTATTGTCCTCAAGAATAAGAGGTTTTATGGAGATGCTGGCATCATTATTCTTATTCTGAGAGTTGTATTTGTGTCATTATGTGCTCTTAATATGAGTAAGTGAAAACTCTTTCAGTAGTGTCTCCACCCGTGCTGTGTCTTTACCTGAAGAAATGTGTATGTGAACAAGCCACATTACCAAACTAGGAGTCACTTTCATACTATTCCCACTTTTTCTCATCCAGTTTTTGATAACTTCAGGGGTGTTTCTGATTTCTGCCACCTGCAGCAGCAGCACTGGCAGCACAGGGGAATGCCAGGGACCCCTCATCACAATGTTCATGTCTTCAGACAGGGGAAGGACCATTAAAGTTAAAACTCCTCCACACCCGCTTCAGATGTGTCACCTCTTGAACTGCCTGATATGGTGATTGCATGGGCAATTCAAAAATAGCTGCCCTACCCTGCAACCCCATTTCCAAAGGAGGCATGTTTTCAGAACAGTTTCTCTTACTCTCTGCAAATCTCTGCCTTGCTCTCTAATTTAAAAAGATATTCTTTGTGTCTGCCACCTCCCTGCTAAATGTAGATTGTGTGTCAGGGGGCTGACACACAAAAGGCCTCAATCTCTTAAGAAGCTGCCACCAGAACACCTAATAGACTGTCAGTTTGAATGTTTAAATGAGACACAGCAAGGGAAGGAATAATGCGTTTAACAAAAGAGTGGTGGGGAGACTAGGAAAAGAAAGCTCAGCTCCACTGACAAGGTGACTGGAAATGTAGTACTTGCAGTGGAAGGGAGATATTGATGAAAGCATCAGGAACAGGTGAAAAATGGTGCTCAGACTTGGGCTGCTAATGGGGAATAAAGCAAGCATTTATGGCTGTAGAGAGAAGCAGGTAAGGAGTCAGGTTAGGACTAGAAGATTGGCTCCTTTGTAGGATGCAGTGCTGTCATCTCCCCCTGTGACAAGCAGTACTTTTAAGCTACATCTCTGTATGTAATACAGATTTGGGCATGACTGAGCCCTGAAAATTAGTATTTGTACATTCTGTTTATGTTTTAAACCATTGCAGGTAGCTACATCTGTGACATTATTTGGGTTAGGGATTCCAAACAGAATTCCTGCATGTCAGTAGCATCTCAAATTGCCTTGCTCACAAATGGAATGTAGAAGGATAGAAATTTCAGTTTTCCTCTGTGTTGTGCAAGTGATTCATTTGAACACTGCCACTATGAAAACATATTTATTTTGGCACACACTCTAACCAAAGACTCTTCTGCTTTCTTTAAGAAATGTGTAAAGGGCTCGGTTCCTTCCTGTGACAGTAAAAAACTTCCTGATGTTTGGATTTGTTCTTTGATTTGTGGTCTTCCACAAAAATGTGTCTGTCTTTCCAAAATTGAGTGATTCAAAAAAGAAGCCATTACAATTCAGTCAAGTCAGTCATAGTCTCTTTCTTTCTCCCTAGTTCTGACTAGGATCCGCTCATGCCTCTGGCTACCTGTTTTGCCAAAAATTTTCCAGTTAACAGGTGGCAAACCCCATGTTGCTGGATGTTATTAAATAAATGGTTTTCCAGATGGCTGTAATATTGTATCTTTAAATAAAAATACACAAGCTTAGTGTCAGCACCTTATTTATGGAATGCTTTTGGCTCCTGAACTGCTTGTTGAAAATGTTGTGAGCCATTTGGTCACTGAAAAGTAATTGTGTATTACTGTAGACAACAAGCTGTTTGCATTAATTAGCAATCCAAGCATATTGCCAAATGGGGAATAATATGCCTTTGACATCTCTGCAGATCCTGGTAACTGAAGCAGTGCAAACTCATGGATTGTCCTTTGCTGCATGTTTATCATGTGAACTTCCAGTCTGCCCATCTGCAAAACCACCAGGGACACAGCTGGGAGAAATAAAAGCTAAGGTAGGAGAATCAGTGTGTGAAGGTACAAGGAGTTGGTAAAATGTCATTGGTTTTTGCAGCAGAAGTAACTCCTGTGATCATTTCTAGTGGCTTCCAAACATGGGAAATGGTAAATGTTGTCTTGCTCACGTGTGCTATTTCACCAGCTAAGGAAGAGTGTGAGCTGATCAGAGGTACCTGAACCAGCCTTAGGGAAGCACAGTACAGCATGACAGAGGACAGCCCTCTGAACACAGCACAGTAATCCACCTTGGATGAGGCCATGGACAGGCCAGATCTCATAAATCAACCTCAGAAAGAATTCCAGCCATCCTCTCTCTCTCCCTTTGCGCTTCTGAAGGCACAGGAGTGAGACAGCAATGCCTCCACAGTACATTTGGGTGTAGAAGATGCCCTTGGCTGAACAGCTAGATAGGATATACTTTTATCCTGTTTCATTGGGTTTTTGTAAAAAATAGTTCAAAGATCATGAAAAGATGGGAAAAACTGCAAGAGAGCAGGAACTTTGTTCCGTGTGGAAAAAGAAGGGTGAAGATAAAAAAGATATCTCTATAGAGTTGGCACTAAAAGTAATGCTGGGAGGGCTTTCCCCTTTGGCCAGTTATCTTGCATATTCTCTTGAAAAATAATGTTCTACAATATCAACTGCATCCTAAATAGCCATTGTTGTGATAGGCACTATGAAAACCTTAGTATACCTGAAAACATAGTATCTCCTGTGTAGCACTGTTTTTCTTCCTCAAGGTTTTTTTGAAAATGTTTTCCTTAGTGGGAAAGTTTCATGTGAAAAGCTAGGAGCAAAGAATCCAGAGTAGTCTGGACCCAGGGGCAGAATACCCATAGGGAGAGTGGGAACTGTGTGTTTAAAATTTTAGAACGCTAGCTCTTCACATTCCTCCTTGCTTGGGAGTCCCAGCTTGATTTTTGATGACCTCTGAAGTCTTTGTTGACAAAGGTGGTCAGGAAAAATAATTAATTTTTTTTTTTGAGGAAAAATTACCTGCATGCTGTATCTATTTGTCTTTTAAAATCAAATTAATTGTGTAGGCATAAGGTGGTTTTAAGAATTACCTTCTTGGACCTAAGCTAATAAGTGCATATGTCTCTGAAAACTCTTGTGCTTCTTCAGTAGATTGGGATAATTTTCTCTATGTGTTTTGTAGTAAAAGTGATAAAACCAGTGTGCACATTTGTACCCCCTGAGCTAGGAAATGTGGGTGCTTAAAATCCAGCAGTGGTTCCTGCCTTTTTTGTGTTGTGTAGAGACCAAATGCACAATGGGAGAGTGGAAGGAAAATATATTCAGGTGTAGGTCAGTGCTTTGCATTTTGACTTTTTGCAGGAATGCTTGTACTGGTAAATGCATTTTCTCATTTATCCTGTGCTTAGGAATTAGAGATGTTTGCTACTAAAATGCCAGGTCCTCTGAGTTATTAAGCAGAGTATAATGAACCCTTTGCAGAAAATAACTAGAATGTGATCTATGTCTGCAGAGGAAGGAAAGGAGCAAAACACATTAAAAAATAAATTAATGTAATGCAAAATAACCTTAGTTCCAGTGCACAGAAATTTATAATTGCACTGATCTTGTTAAGCTGCTCTTCCAGAAGATGCTGCACATTCTGTGCAGAAGTACAGTATGGTGATGAGTGTCATTCAAAATTAGGATCTTTCATATTCAGAGGGTTTCACACACACATTTGGCATGTACAGGTAGAGACATTTCAATGAAGCAAGATATTATCTAGACAGGAACTCTTAACAAACAATTCCCACCAGGGGCTTGGGGATGTAGTTTTCTAGTGCTTCTGGGTTTTGGCTGTTTTATTTCATTTTTTCTTCTCTAAGATGTACTCCTTTTGTTTACTTTCAAAAGGCAGTGCACTGACATAATCTTTTAGCATCTCCTTCATACCTCCAGGGTTACACTGGAGGTCAGGGCTGCATTCTCAGCTCCTGGTGGCTTGATATGAATAAATTGGTTTTGAAATAACTAAATAATTTTCTGTGATAGGATAAGCAAAGATAAAGCATTTTCACCAAAGGGTTCAAAGCCAGCATAATTGGCTAATAAATAAATAAATAAGAAAATTCTCTTTGCTGTCTTTCAGAATAGCATCTCTCACACAATGTTTTTCACAGCTGTAGGGTTCACAACTGGCCTGGCTGGGCCCTGGCTGGGGCTGTTGTGCTGGGAGCAGAGGAGCAGGGGCCCCGGGCCTGGCTGTGGGCAGCCCTGGGACGTCTGTGTGTGCTCAGGCTGTGTGCAGGGCTGCACTGCTGCTGCAGACACCGCTGTGTGCAGGGCTGCACTGCTGCTGCAGACACCGCTGTGTGCAGGGCTGCACTGCTGCTGCACACACCGCTGTGTGCAGGGCTGCACTGCTGCTGCAGACACCGCTGTGTGCAGGGCTGCAATGCTGCTGCAGACACCGCTGTGTGCAGGGCTGCACTGCTGCTGCACACACCGCTGTGTGCAGGGCTGCAATGCTGCTGCACACACCGCTGTGTGCAGGGCTGCACTGCTGCTGCACACACCGCTGTGTGCAGGGCTGCAATGCTGCTGCACACACCGCTGTGTGCAGGGCTGCAATGCTGCTGCAGACACCGCTGTGTGCAGGGCTGCAATGCTGCTGCAGACACCGCTGTGTGCAGGGCTGCAATGCTGCTGCAGACACCGCTGTGTGCAGGGCTGCACTGCTGCTGCAGACACCGCTGTGTGCAGGGCTGCAGTGCTGCTGCACACACCGCTGTGTGCAGGGCTGCTGTGCTGCTGCACACACCGCTGTGTGCAGGGCTGCAATGCTGCTGCACACACCACACCTGGGAGCAGGCTGCATGCAGAGGGCCATGCTGCCTGCCCAAGAGAGCCTCCAGCTGGGGCTTGACAAGAGGGCTTTGGGGACTTTTTTTTTTTTTTTTTTTTTTTTTTTTTTGTATTAAAACATTTTTGCCTTCTGTTATTTTGCAAAACTCACTGGACATTTTCAGAATGACTTTATTTGGTCTATTTCTTCTGTATTATGACCTGAATTAAAGGGGGCAAGGAGTGAAAAAAAAAAAAAAGATTTTAAAAACTCCCATAGTAAGCAAACTGGACTTTTAATTTTTGGTCAAAGCAAAATTTTTAGGTAGTGTTTCACTAAATTTGAATGCACTCCTTTTTTCTAAAGCCATGTTTATTTGCATGGAGGCTGAGTTGTGAAAGGGGAAGGTGTGCCTGAGAATCAAATTGAGCAAGATGCTTTCAGCTTGTCTGGCTTTGATTACTTGTCAGGAGCAAGTGTTGCTCTGTTACTGAACTTGTTAGTGTTATGCAGTTCTGCCTTTCCCCAAAAAACTCCATCAGATGTATTTACATGTCCCCTTGGATGAAAGCCCCAGAGCTAGGCAGGGGTGCCCCTGCTACCTCTGGTGCTGTGAAGTGGTTGCAATTTTGCTTTTGAACCTGGAATAATATTTTAGTCTTGTATCAGTGTAGGGTATTAATCCCGTATAAATCTTCTTGGTATGGCTCTTCAGACATGAAAACTTAGCCTTAAAAATTTCATTTAATAGTTATTTCATAAAAACAATGCCTGCATACTTTTGTTCCTCTTTGTGTTTTTCTTGTCACACTTCATTGAGGTAAAAACAATTTATTTGCTTCGCTTGCTGGGACGTGTCGATCTGACAGTGAAAATAAGATGTCATTTTCAGTGTCTCATCTGATCAACAACATAGACAGCCATCAACAAAATATTTACATTCTCCAGTGATGATTATGGATGAGAATGCATAAATCAAGGTTATTTTACATTTTATAATCTAAATTGACACATAAGAATTGATTCTGAAGTTTCATTAGGACTAGAAAGTGCCAAAATGATTTAGTGAACTCTAAGCATGACAATAACCATTGAAAACAGTCAATATCAGGGCTATTCCTCCTTTTATTAATTTTTTAAACTAGTTTTCAGCTCATTCTTGCCAGTAGCTCCCTTTCATATTCGGTTAAAAGAAGGTAAAATGTTCCGATTATTGTTTCTAACTTTTTGCTCATAATCTAAATTTCTGCATTAGGCATATTACCAGAGAGTTGCTAATGGGCAAAGTTAAATCTACTTTTAGTTTTCCATATTTTTTTTACTGTCAAGCCAATTTATATATTATCTACAGTTTTGCATTTATCTGCAATTTCCAGTAAGCTAGGTCATGGTCTCAATTTTTTCGTCTGATATCTTCTTGCCTCCTAAACACTCTGAAAAGATTGGTTTGATACTGTGTCTCTTAGATGTAAATTCTGCCAGATATTGAGTCACTAAACACTTGTGAGAACTTTGGTGATTGCAATGTTATCAACTGCCTTTAAACTTTTTGTGTTCTTTTATAATTCTCTCATTTGTTCTCACAGGTGCTCTAATAGCCTTGGGTCCTTATTTAAGGACCTATACAGATATAAATGTAGAATAGTCAAAAAGAACATAATAAAAGACAGTTAAATACCATATATATGTCTTAAAAATTCTTTAGGGATCATTCAATCACTGCAACCCCTTGGGTCTAGAAGCAAACAAGCTGCCTCATAAGCCAGCTCAGTTTTTCAGTTGGGGATGGAAGTTCTTTCCCACAATAGAAAAGAGCATTTTTCAAATACAGCTGGTGTGATGGGGATGTGGTGCAGCAACCAGAAAGGAGGGCCATCCATCATTTGACACACTAGTCTCTTGGTCTTGCAGGGGTTATAGAAAAGCAAACCAAGGTGGGGAAAAACAATTATGTTATACATTAAAAGTGCCAGTTCAAGTTTTACTTCTGTTATTTGTGTTTTTACCCTCTGTTTTGATGCTGGAGTGGAAAGTGTTGTGCAGACAGCCAGCTAAGACAGAACAGCAGCTCCTTGTTTCTGCTGCTGGGCAAGCCCAAATGATGCAGTTACATTTGTGCTGAATCCATGAGCAAACCATGACACAGATGTAAGGTCTCACTCCAGGGTGACTTTGGTAATTCTGCTCAGGTGC